TAAATGATTTAGAAAAATTTTCTCATATAACTATTGATAGCTTTGATTTCTTCTCCTGAAAATTGCCTGTTCATATCCTTTGGCCATTTATCAATTAGGGAATGGTTCGCATTTTTATAAATTTGGCCAAGTTCCTTATATATTTGAAAAATGCAGCCAAAGGATAAGTAAGTTTTGATGAGTTCTGGTAAAACTACATTGTCAATGACAAAGGATATTTTCCTTAGTTTATTTTAAATAAAAAAAAATTGAGAGTAAATTCTGAGCTGCAAAGTATATCTTGCTGTAACCTTTACAATGAGGAAGTTACCAGGAGTGTGTAAAAATACCCAGAAATTAGATAAATGGGAGAGGCTCAAAATAGATTTAATAGATTCTGCAAGGCTCCTGAGTTTTGAGTTTATCTTCTGTGCCCCTTCCAGGCACTAATTCTCACCACCACCAAGATCCACTCTCAGTACCCTGTTCTACTCTTCATACTCTCCTTCAGAGCTTCCAGTCACCCCAACAACTTCAACTGTTACTTCTACATGGATGATTCCCAAGTTTAAATCTCCTGACCTATTTTCTTCCACATACTCCAGTCCCACATCTCCAAATTCTTGGCAGACAGACATTTTCACACAGATGTGCTGCCACAATCGGAAGCTCAACATGTATAAGATACAACTCCAGTTTCCCTCTTCCCTTTGTTGATGCTATTAACCTCACTATCATTCTTTCTATCATTCAAAGGTAAAACACTGATGTCATCTTTGACTCCTCCCTTCCTCCCCTCTAGCTACCAAGTTCTGTGGATTCCTCCCTTATATAGTACTGCTAAAATCTTCATTTCCATCACTGCTACCATCCAAGTTCAAGCCCTTCTAATGGTTAGCTTACTGCAATATCTTACTTACTAGGATCTCCACCTGTGGTCTTTACTTGCTCAAATCCATCTTGCACATTGTCACCAGCTTAACTTTCCTGAAATGCCACTGTCGTAATATCATTTCCCTCCCCAAACACCTTTTGTTGCTCCTCTCTATCTATAGGTCTAGCATGATCTGGCCTCAACCTAATTATTCTAATTTTATCAACTGCACTCATTTGCATGAATTCTCTACTTTAGTCAGACTAGTCTAGTCCGTTATCTCCCAATCAAGACTCGTGTTTCTGCCTTCATGCCTATCCATTTTTCAAGCCATTGAACAAATTCTAACTACTCAGTGATAACCTACTTGGTCACCTCAGCCCATGGCAATCTCTAAACTTTTTAGTTGTTAATGTCTCCACCATTTATTACATATTTGAAACATACTGTTGCTTACTGTCAAGTTTTGCTTTAAGTCATAACTAATATAAGACTAAAGGATTTAGCATTAGAAGAGACTTTAGAGATCATCTAGCCCAACACCTTGATTTTGCAGATGAAGAAAGTGAAGCCCAGAAGAGCCAAGTAGCCTAAAGTCAACCAGGCAGTAAGAGCACAGCCAGGACCTAACTCTGAATCTAGCACTTTCAATTACACTATGCTGCCTTGTCATTTCAGCTAGACCATTAAAATCTCTGAGAGCAGGGATTCTCTCTTATCCTTATGGTACAATGCCTAGCACAAAGTATGTGACTGATTGACTGAATCACTTACAGTTCCTCAGTGCGTCCAATGCCCACCGCTCTTCAGAGACAGGGAAACGTGGCTCTGGGATAGTGCTCTGATAGTCCATTCCAGACTCTTTAGATGTCTCTTCTGCTTGTTCCTTTTCAAACTGTCTTTCAGCCAGTAGATCATTGATCTCTGATTTCCCAGAGGTAACTGATGAAGGGGACTGATGTTTTGATATTAAAGGAGTATCTGTTCCCATGTGTTTTTCTGCTCAATGGGGAATAAAAGGTGTGATGTTTATAAATAGTAGGGACTCAAATACCAAAGTAATGCCCTCACATGCTTCCCAAATGATAAAAGAAATTCTATATAATTTATGTTTGAGTATCTTAAACAGAAACTTAGCAAGAAGCAAAGAAAGCCATCCCTAGCAAAGCTTATAATTTTCAACCTAAAGAATTCAAAAGGAATTTCACCTGCATGGGCTATCCTGACAATCCTGCCATGTTAGATCAGTAGGCTAAATCTATGAACTACAGACCTCTTCAAAGATTCCTTAAAAATTTAATAAGATATATTGATCATATTTTCCCTGAGCTAATAGGAATGAGTTTACCTGGACTTTGAAGACTAGAGGTAGAAACACCATGTGATTCCTCCTTCACCTTTGAAGCTTCTTCTTCATCACGCTCACCTCTACAGAAATATAAAATCCATCTTTCATAACCATCAGGTACCTAACACCACTGCACCAAAATGTACACAATACAAAATCACAGTAATCAAAAATCAAAGCAAAAACTCACTCGCAGGGGGGTGACTCTGGTAGTGTAATGGGCTTTGTGGACTGTTCCTTTACTGAGAGGGCCATCCTGCCAATCAAGTCCTGCCAGCTGCAGGAAGTTCCAAGAAGTTGTTGAGGTAGGGGTGGGGGTGGGGGTGGCCCAGGGGAAGAGGAAGGGAAAGAAGAGAAAAAATAAGAGAAGATGAGAAAAACCACATCCAACACAACTTGGAAAAAGAAAGTAACTTTCAAATTTGCAAAGAGGAAATCTCTTATGTAGCAAAGTGCAGATGCCAAAGTCATATCTCAACAAGAAAACTAACAGTAATACAGTAATCTGTTTAAAGGATCCACTAAAAACTTGAGACAATGTTATAAAAAGAAAATTTAAGAAGAGATTAAATTTAATTCAACAAACATTTATTAAGAAACTAAGTAAGCTTGTGGTGGGTGCTGGGAATACAAGGATAATAAAACAAAACAATCTCTGCCCCAGAAGAGGATAAACTTCCTCAAAGATTGGAGCAGGGAGGGTATTCAGTTTACAGTCAGTGTTTTTGTAGTCCAACTACTTCTAGCCATTAAACTAATCAGGTTTGTGAAACATTAGGCTTTGAATCTAACAGAAAATACTAGGTAGAAAAATACAGTTGAGACCGTCACTTACACTGCCTTTTCAGAAACTGTCTGTGCCACCAATTCATAAATTTGGGCTCCATTATCTGACATAGAGATGACAAATAATGCTTTGTTATCTGGAAGAGAGAGAATAGAAAGTTATTCCATCATGGATCAAACAGAAATATTTGTGATCCCAAGGGGATGTTGAGTATTCACATCACTGAATCAAGCATTGTATTCATTTTCCATTATAGATGTGAGTTTCCAACTTCAACTATTCTAAACTCTTAAATGTTCATTTATTTTACCTAAGACAAAAAAGCTTACTACTGTTCACGTACATAATGGCACATGGTAGGAAAGCTCAGAGAATTTAGGTATCTCAAGTCTCTTGTGATAGATATGTATATGTATATGTATATGTATATGTATATGTATATGTATATGTATATGTATATGTATATGTATATGTATATGTATATGTACATGTACATGTATATGTATATATGTATATAAGTATGTGTATATATATATATAGATATATATGCATATCATTGCTTCACTTTACAAATAGGAAACAAAGCTCATGAAATTTCTCCAGGTTTACCCAAGCAAAGAATTTGAGATCCCTTTTCCTAACTAGACAACGTGCTATTTCTAAAGTAACTTTATAATGAACCATAAGTTGTAGTTTTTCACCCAGTGGAAGTACTTGCCTGTCGCAACTTGTCGAACCAACACGGTATTCAATTTGATCACAGGGCTGAATGTGTGTTTGCTATCTGCTGTAGATGCTAGAATTTTACTATGACACCTCAACACCAGTCTATCATCCTGCTTTTGTAACAATACAAGGATGTCCTCCAGCAACAATGTGTACAGATCTACAAAAGAGAAGGTACCACACATTCATAACCAACTTTATGGGGGGAAAAAAGCAGTATGATGATGTATGAGATCCAATAATCAGTTTGCTTCCTTATAGTAGCCCAAATTCACACATCACTTTAAGAATTGCAAAGTATCTTAATCAAGACATATTTCACAAGCATACCAGGCACTGTGCTAAGCACTAGGGACACAAAAAGAGGCAAAAGACAGTCCCTGCCTCCAAGGAGCTCACAATCTAATTGGGGAGCTCACATTCTAATATATTATTTCATTTAAGCCTCAAAACAACCCAGTAAAGTCAGTAGTACAGGTTTCATTATCCCCACTTGAAAGATGAAGAAAGATTAAATGACTTGCCCATAGTCAGTCATTAAGTGTTATAGGCAGGATTCAAATTAAAATCTTCTTGACTCTGTGTCCAGAACTTTAACTACTATGTCAAACTTCCCTTGCTTACAAATGAAATGCTTACAATTACTTTTTAAAATAGTAGTACTAGGGTAGAGATACAATTGGATCATGGCAAAGCCAACTGATATCTCTGTGATGATATTCATGTTAAATGTTATATAAATGTTAGCTATTAGTTTTGTGCTTAGCACACAGTGCCTGGTACATAGTAAGCAGTATATGACACACTGCAAAAGTAACCAAAACAAATAAGTGAAAAAACAACCCTTAAAAAACAGATCTTCAGGGGCAGCTAGGGTGCACAGTGGATAGAGCACCAGCCCTGAAATCAGGAAGACCTGAGCTCAAATCCGGCCTCAGACCAGACACTTGACACTTACTAGCTGTGTGACCCTGGGCAAGTCACTTAACCCCAACTGCCTTAAAACAGAGAGAGAGAGAGAGAGAGAGAGAAAGAGAGAGAGACAGAGAGAGAGAGAGAGAGAGAGAGAGAGAGAGAGAGAGAGAGAGAGAGAGAGAGAGAGAGAGAGAGAGAGAAAGACAGAGAGACAGAGAGACAGAGAGAGAGAAAGAAAGAAAATACAGATCTTCACATTTACAAGTTGTTCGTGACAGCACTGCAATTTGACATTACTTGAAAACATGAAAAACAAGCCTCTTCTTCTCAAGGGAATTTCACCTTCCTCTCAATTCCACTTCTACATTCCCTTTCTCTCTAGCAGAAAAAAAAAGGAAAAAACAACTGAAAAAAGACATCCAACCTACCAATAGTCTTATCTCTATTCACCTTCCATACCAACGGTCCTTCATGAATCATCTTCCTCTTTGTTAAATCCAAATTCTGTCAAAATGAAAAAAGCAAACACAAGTGACTCCCTGAATGACGTAATACTTTGCCAAAACTTTTACCTTCATCATTGCCATCATCAATGCAATAAGTATATTCATTATTTAAATTCAAATCATTCATACAGAGCAGGCATTATTCTTCCTAAATTATCTGAACAAGGATAAAATACAGAGACAGAGTAATTAAAACAAAATGATACAAAGGAATAGAGATACCTCAGAAAAGCAACTGCAAGACCTGTTTTCTCAATCTTATTATTACCATGATCTAACTACTTTACCCAGTCACCAGATCCTGACTATATGGGCCCATAAAGACCACCGCTCATATTCAGTCTTAAAAGCCTAGATGACCAAGAGGCTTCAAATATTACCAATTATTAACATAAAAATCCTCTTTCTGTCATTCATTTAGCCACAAAAGAAGAGTGCTGGGACAACAAAAAGAGGGTAAACACATTAAAACATGCTTATCTGTGAAAAGTTACACCACACAATGAAGTCTGTTTTAAATATCTACTTAAAAGACCTACCTAAACTGGCTACATAGTAAGGGTGGCATTTTTAATGAAATTATATTTTTAGGGATACTCAAAAGTAGTCATGAAGAAATAATACTACTAGAAGTTGTATTTAGTATAAGTTTTGCCATCGTTTAGTGTCACAATTATAGAAGTTGAGCTTTTCTGCGCTTTAAAAGAACCTTAAGGAAGGACTATTAAAATATCTTGTTCAACCCAATAATCTGGGAAGTCCATTCAGTAAACAGCACCTCTGCACAAACTACAGAACAATTTTTTCTTTAAAATTCAAGTATAATTAGGATTTCTAAACTTCTTGGAAGTTTCTTCTACCCTGATGTGCAAAAGAGTAGAGTACCATACAAGCATTCCTCTAAATGAGCTACCATCACAATATGGTACAGATGTTTAAAGGAACATCAAAAATACAAAAGTAGACAATATGTCATGTTTTCTTTACATTATAATAAACTCCAAAAAAGTTTGGTTACCTATCACTGTTCTGTTAAACTGAACTCTATGAAAACTATTAAGACCATTAGACCTCTCTCACCCTGAGCTCTTCAACATTTGGATACTCTGACAGCTTCAAGTTAGATGTATCAAGGCGACGCTGGTAATCTTCTAAGCGCTGGAAATGAGATAACATGAAGCCAGGGTTATTGCTCTGGTGAAGTGATGCTCAAATAGTATTGCAACCTGGTGCTATACCAGGGCACAATGACCTTGATATACCAGTTACAGAAGTAAAGTCTTTCCCTGTAACTAAAACAGCTGGTATTTCAGGGATATCTGTTTCTCTTTTACCAGTCCCACCTTTTCCTTCCCTTGCTGTCTTAATAGTTAGGTGTTTTTTTTGTTCTTTACCTGTTTGTTCTCTGCCTCCTTGACAGCTTGATTCACATAATTTAGGATTTGACGACAGTGATCTGCTGCTTTCTTCACCTTTTCTCTTTCCTTTGGCCGTTCTGAAATTAGGCAAGATAGAAAAAAGCAAATGGTAGAAATTTGATGAGAAGATGAAAAATGGAATTTGATTCCAATCCATTAAATCAATGCTCTGCTATTTTTTTCCTATCTAGTTGAAAAATAATTTATTTATAAGTTCAAAAATGTTATGACAGCCTTGGTCAATGACAAGTCACTAACCAGGTTTGAAAACATTTTGCTTGGCAGTAAAGCCATGAAAACAGTAGAACAAAATACTTCTAACAGCACTATTTTAAGCAATAAAGAGTTAGTGTACAGAGCTCCACATGTAAAGAACTATATTTATTTTAACATAGAATTGTTTGAAGAGTGCTATGAATCCAAATAATTCCATAAAAAGTAATTCATTGAATGTGAAATCAAGTTCAAACAGAGTAAAAAGTGGTCTACAAAATCCACATCATTAAAAAGAAATTCAATGAAAGGTATGTGAATGTTATACTCTTACTGAGAATTTAAGGGATGCTAAAATCAGTTATCAAAGTTATAATTCCCCAGACAATTATAATCCAGTCATATTGTACAAATATAGTAAGGCATAAAATTTAATGGAATTTTTAGTAAGACAAAATCCTACTTATACAATAAGGAGTAAGCTATTGTTTCTAGGAAGAACTATAATTTTCAATTTCCTAATTTGTATATTCAAATTTTGAGATATAAAATTAGATGAGCAAAAGCTTAGTTGCACTAAATTATTTAAAAAGCTACAAGCACATGACCCTAAAGCAAGACTGAAGAAAAATGACTTTGTTTCAATTTTCACTACAGGAAAGTCAGTACTACAGTAATATAGTAAGTACTTTATGCATCTCTGTAAGGCCTGAACAGAATCAAAGAGCCATACATAGGTAATTGAACCTAGAAGGACCCTTAAAAAGAACATTTAGTCCAATGTTTCACAATTACCAGGGCTTGGCAAATTTCCACCAATTCATTAAACATTTACTAACAAAAGATTGTTATTTCTTAAATATAGACTTAAAAAGCTTTTAAAAACTAACTTATTTTCCAGCAGTTCTCTCTGTCTTTCCTTTCCAATCCCTAGCTTTCTCTATTCTAAGCTCCCAACCTCTGTCCTCGAGGTATTTGAAATTGCCCAGGAGGGTTCTCAGTAGATAATTCAAACATATTACCAGTCTAATGTATAGTTTGGGAAATGATGATCTTATCAACTGTCTCCTCAGGACCTCCCTCTTCTCCAACCTAATTTATACAAATTTATACAAAAGATAAAATTTCCTCTGACCCTGGTGTAGCATGCATTACACAATACCAGCACATGCCATTGTAAAGCGGCTACAAAGTAAATTAAGTAATATCTTGAATCCTGACATATCATTTGGACAGACAGTCAGTCAATAAATACTTATTAGGTGCCTACTATATGCCAAGCTATGCTTAGGGCTGGGGATACAAAAAGAGGCAAAAAATAGTCCCTGCCCTCAAAGAGCTTACAATCTAATGGTAGGGAAAAGCAAGCAAGCAAATTAAGTACAAACAAACTATATACATGGTAAACAGGAAATAATTAAGAGAGGGAAGGCACTAGAATTAAGAGGGGTTGTGAAAGGTTTCCTGAAGAACAGAGGTGTGAAACTCACAGCACTCCCAAATACCTGCAAAACTTCTAGAACCAAAATAAAATGTAATTGGAAAATGTTTAACAAAATAAATAAAAATATAATACATCATAGATAATACTAATTTGTGGTTTTCCAAGTCAATTAGCAACCCACAGGGACCGTTTCTATTTGAGTTTGATACCACTGATGTAAAAGATGGGATTTCAGCTGGTATTTGACGGAAGTCAGGGAAGCCGGGAGGCAGAGCTGAGGAAGAGCATTCTGGGCATGGAGGATAGGCAGAGTAAATATCCAGAGCCAACAAATGGAGTGCCTTGTGTGAGGAACAGCCAGGAGGCCAGTGTCCCTGGATCAAAGAGTATGTGTTGGAGAATAAGGTATAAAAAGACTGAAAAGATAGGAGGGAGCTAGGTTATGAAGGGCTTCGAATACCAACAAAGCCTCTTGTATTTCGATCCTTAAGGTGATAGGAAATCAGTGGAGTTGACTGAATTAGGGGGTGGGGTGAGGTACAGAGGGTGACATTGTGTGATATGCACTTCAAATGGCCGGGGAGAAAATGAAAGGGTCAAAGGATTAGAGGACTTAGTGTGAGGTTTGGTAAGGGAAAACAGAAGGAAAATAAGTCTGCAGATAAGGGGGTGCTATGTTACACTAACAGGAGGTAGTATTTTATGAACTTACTGCATTTAAGTGGGAATACTATACTGTACCTGTGTACTTAGCAATATTATCCAGCAGAAGGGGATATTTAGTGAGCCTCTGCATTTGAGTAGGAATAATATCCTTTAGCTGCAGTCGACGGCACAGTGGATTACTCTCAGCATCCTAAAATTAAATAGTATGAAATTAAACTGCAATTGTCATTTATATTAAAGGTGTAATTACCTGAACATGTACAATCTACCTATTCATAATGTATATGTGTAAATGTGTGTGTATCCACATTTCCAGTAAGGCAAAAAATGCCAAGATTTATCATCAACATTTCACAAACCTATTATGTCTTTAATCAAATACAGGAAGAATAGCATCACTTAAAACTATTAAACCAATAGCTTCCACCCCACATTCCAGATACTTGTTATCATTTGTAATAAATTGAAGTCACTGCTTTCTAGAGACACTATCAATTTCACATTAAAAATTTTTTAAACATATGCCATTTTTCAAAATCAAACTATTATTTTACAATGCTTGACATTCCTTAGGATAAATTAGTGAACTAATGTGGTATTTTTTTCATTGAAATGGGCACAGCAAACAATGCATCTACATCATTCTCTTTCCCAAAGCACGTGCCTATAATTGTGTCTTCTTGAGTCAAGACTTTTGCTCTACTACTTTCACCCTAGTATCCTAATAGATGCAAACTGTCTCCTGATCATACACCAATAGCATTGCTGAACATCTGTGGCAGGTGTCTTGATCATGATATTAAATATTCTTTTTTATCAAAGTATTATCGACCTTCACAATGTTAATATTCTACCCCTCCAGAAATGACTTAGTAGAGATAATCTAGGGCTGGGAATAATCTTGATGTAAGACCAATGCCAGACACAATTCTAGTAAATGATTTAATCTTAATTATACTCCTAGTTTATCCTAGCTTTGTTAAGAACCAGAACTGGCACTAGCTCTTACTGCTGACTTAGCAACTCAATTTACCTGCACAAAAGTCTGGAATCTAGAGTCCTTTTTCTGACGAGACTTGATCATTTCCAGGGCAAAAGGCTGGTTACTACAAAAGGTGGCAGCTGCATGTTTCAACTTCTCCTCTCCTGCTCCGCTGAACTGTGCCAAGAATGTAAAGAAAACAATAGAGAAAGGGATAATAGACAACACAACACAGGGCAAGATGATGAACATCTAAAGTACCTTTTCAATGGAAGTATTTTCAAGTGATAATAGATGTAGATTAGCCACTTATTTACATGGGGGAAGGAGAGGAACTTTTATCCATCAAAAATAATATCCTTTCCATTCCACTAATATAATTATATCTTTTCTCATCATCTAAGATCTTGATGTTAGAAGAGCAATTTGTCAATCAAGAAATATTTATTTACAGAAATTCATAGATTATTAGAGTTGAAAGGGACTTCAAGGATCACCTCCATTTAACTCTGTCACCTTAAAAGTAAGGAGACCCAAGTCCAGAGTGGTTTAAGTGACCTGTCCAAGATCTTGCTTGACAGTCCCCTTTCTGTCAATGATACATAACTAAATGCACAGAAAAGCTGCTCCTTTATTAGCATGGGACACCAAGTGTACTGCTGTTCTGAGAAAGAAGATGAAGCATGAATGTAAGGTGACAAAATTTCAATTTTCCTAGTATTAACACCTTTGTTAACTAATCCCCTTTGTAAAATTCCAGGTGTCCTTCGCTGGGTATTCATCCACATCAGGTCCCCTAACTATGCATCTCTCTCAAAGTTCTGTTCTTCTTTCTTTCCTCTAGACTCTCTCTTCATTAACCCCATCAGTTTGCATGGACTATTATCCTGATAAAGATGACTCCCACAAAAACAAATTCTGCTGCCATCTCTCCCCTAATCTCACTACCTTTCTTTCCTTTTTTTTTTTTGGGGGGGGCAAAGCAATTGGGGTTAAGTGTCTTGCCCAGAGTCACATAGCTAGTAAGTGTTATGTGTCTGAGGCCAAATTTGAATTCAGGTTTTCCTCACTTCAGGCTCACTTCTCTATCCACTACGCCACCCAGCTGCCCCACTATCTTTCCCCTAAATCCTTCCCTCTTCCAAACTTTCCTTTTAGACTCCACTCAAGTGCTACCTTCTGCATGAAGCCTTTCTTGATCCTCATCTTCTTCTTGTCTCTCACTGTTGCCTTCTTCTCTAAGGTTACCTTGTATTAGCTTTACATATGTTTTGCATATACCTATATATGTGCATTTTGTCTCCCTTGTTAGAACACAAGTTGTTTGAGGGAAGGGGGCATTATCTTTTTGTCTCATTGAGGTAGCTGGTGGTGCTGTGGATAGAGAACTGGGCCTGAAGTCAGGAAAACCTGAGTTCAAATTTGGCCTCAGACACTAGCTGTGTTACCTTGAGCTCATTTAAACTCTATTTGCCTCAGTCTCCTCACTGTAAAACGGGGATAATAATAGCAACTATCTCACAGGGTTGTTGTGAAGATCAAAAGGGATAATACTTTTAAACACTTACCACAATGCCTGGCACACAGCATATGTAACATAAACACCTATTTTCCTTCCATCCTTACCCACCTTCACTTTATCCCTGGCACCTAGCACAGAGCTTGGAAAACAGGAGATGCTTAATAAAT